GGATGGGTGGGGTGTGCCACTGAAAGATAGATATGCCCACATATCTACATTGGCAATATTGCGCATTGGTACAATGGCAAATGTTACTGGATTTTCAGGACTGAGGCTGGCTGCTATTTCTATGTCTAAGAAAACGGATTAGTTTGGGATGAATCCTGAGTTTTGTTCCTGGGGAGTGCATATTTCTTTGTAATGTTCAGCATGACTTTTAACTTGGCTGTTCCTCAATTTCTTCCCCACAAAATTTCTTACCTGCAGTGCTCCCCAGGAAAAAAAAAATCACTTTTTTTCTTGACTATTATGAAACAGCGATTCTTAAAATGACTACAGGCTTACACCTACAGTTGTAATAAGAATGATCTATGACAGCTGTGTAATAGCGGTTGTAGTGTTATATTTAGATAGCTAAAGTATTTGTAAGATGTTGGGAAATGCAGATTTTAAAAGATTTCTCTTATGTCTCGTATGGCTATTGTGATATGAAACGCGTTAAAATATATACATGTTTTGATATCCTCAGAGAGAAGGTACCATAAAAATGTCAAACATCTTTAATATTTATTCCTAGCTGAAGATCTGGCCCACAGCCGGTTTTATTGACAGCATGAAGAACACAGAATAAACCAACAACCCTATTTTAGCAAAAGGTTAAAAAAAGACCACCCTTAATTATACACTGTTCAGAAACAGAAATCACTACCTGTAATAGAACAAATGATAACAATGACTTCCACAGCATAGGATTGGTTGACGTGTCAGAGTAAGATGAAAAATGCCTTTTTAATCCAAAGCGCGCAAGACATAGTATGGTGTGGAATGACGAGGCAGTAGGCGGCTAGGTTGATTGCTAACATGCTCAAAACCTTTTTCCTTTCTTTATTACCAGCTTGAACTTAACCCAGAGCAATAACAACTGAAAGATTTTGATAGCTGGCATGATAAAATTTGGTGCCTACAGTCCAGATCTTAGGAGATCTCATCTCATTTTGTAGGTAGTAATCGGCATCTGTGTTAAAGTGACAAAAGACATCATCAGCTTGATTTGCTGCTACAACTCTCAAAGGATTTTTTTCCAGGGTACCATTTTCCATTCTCAAGAAATGCAAGGAATTTGGCCCGGGAACTGCTTGTGTTGTATCTTTTCTGTAACTAAATGGAAAGTCTTCAGCCTCAAGGGAAGCTTCAAGAATTTTTTTTTTTCATAAGCAGTAGGAAATATAGCTAGGAGAAGCCCTAAGAGGCTGTGTGATTCAGACATATACCTCTGAGTCACAGTTTCTTCCATAGGTAATCATTTATTGCTGCCAATGAGGTAGAGAGAATGGGAAAGATACTGTTCTATAACAAAAACCTTTCCAACTGCTCCAGATGAGACACAAAATGGGTATTTTACTGCTTAAACTCAATGTGTGGGTTGCAAAGCTACACCCAAAATCCCTCCGGCAGGCCCCACGTTGGAAAGCAGCCTCAAACACATATTTTACTTTAAACAAATACAGAAGAAAGGCAGCCTGGAATAGTTTATTAGGAAAGAAGGGCATGTGAAGTACAAAACACCTTTGGAAAAACTAGTCTAACCTAAAGTACACAAGGCAGTGATTTTCTAGTGATATATTTTACTGACCGACTATATAGTTAGGAGAGATGTTAGGTAAGCTTTTGGGGACAAATTTCTCTTTCTCAAGTCACTCTAACCTAATGCTATTGTGAGGTAGCAAGGGGGATTTGATAGAGAAAAGAGTTATCTTCTGTCAGAAGTGTTTGAGGGAAGGTTAAAAACTTACCCAGAAAAAAGGAAGTCTATAGAAAACATACATTGATGGGATATTTTGTGTTGGGATGGGATGAATGAGCAGTAGTTTATTCGTGTCTTACATACATGGCACAACATACAGAGCCAGCACAAAAAACTTACAAAACCTCATACACCATGCTTCCTCTCAAATACTATCAAGTTACAACATCATAACAAATCAGTTATTTAGTTACAACAGGTCTTCAAACATGGATTACCTCCCATTCAGGGCTTTTTAAAATTTTTTGTAAGCTACTTAGACAAACATTATTTTACATGTTTAATACAGTACGGTATCCTTAACAGAGCTCAAGATATTCACATTGAGAGTTGAATACTTTATAAAACAACATTTTTTTTTTAAACTCAGGCCAGAACTATGCCCATTCCTGCCTTGTCTGGTCTACAGATGTGTTTCAAGTCATCTTAACTTTCCAAGTTAAACATTTCTTTAAAATAAAACCAAAAATCCTATTTACAACTTTTTCAATGTAATAAAAAATGCTTCATTTCCCTCTCCCCTGTTCCCCCCCCACCAGTAACTGTCATTTAGCTGGTAGAAATATTAACACTCAGGTTGTTATAGAAACTTAAAAAAAAACCCAACATTCTTCTGGCCACATCCCTTTGGATGGCAAAAATGAGAGATGATCACAGACTATAGTTAGGTTAAAAATGGTTTTCTGAATGCAAGGATTTGTGTCTTCTCTAAATTGATGGGTCTGATCAACTGATCGCATTTTCAAAGAAGTGCTATCTACAGGCCAGTTTGTACTATACCCTTACGCTACCTACTTGAGTGGGATCTTTTCAACATTAGATAGGGTATTGTAATCTAGGCAATGATACTACTATCTTTGTGCTAGGCTCTATCATCCTTAATTACACTGGGTATTATCTTATTACATCAACAGTCCCATTGGTTTTGCTAGGGACTGTTCAGGAATAAGATACTACTCTACAACATTGACCCAAAGCCCATTGAAATGAATGGAAGCTTTTCCTTTCGACTTCAGTGGGTTTTCCTTTCGACTTCAGTGGGTTTTTACCTGAATAAAACTGGTAAAATCTAGCACTTGAGTAGATCAGCAGTGTCTAAACAATAATAATAATAAAACAAGATTCTATTCTTTTAGACATACAATATGCAATTGCTTTTTTTTACACTGAGCATTGTCATAAAAAGCATGTATAGGTTGTTCTGGAAATGTATTTTTATATAACTTTATAAACACTGTAATATCAAACACATTCTCAAAAACTGGATAAACTACTGACACAAAACCTGAAAGAGCCTCAATAGATTTCTTCCAGTAATATTTATTTCTTACTTGCATATTTCATATTCCAGCTTCCTCTGTTCACGTGTCTCTTTATGGTCAAAGTGTGTTCCCAACAAAACTCTGGTTGAATTGAACAAGACCAGGAGTTTTCTCTTGTTGACACCCTCATTCAGTATCAGTTATTCAAAATATTTTCTCATCCACCCATTCTACTACCCTTTTTCACAGTCAATAATCCTCACAAATAGTTTCATTGACTTCAGTGGGATTATTTATGAAATAAATATATGCAGTCTGAGCACAAATATCAAAAACTGACCCTGCACTTCTGAATCCCCTTTAGTTTCTACTGCTAACATGTCTATAGGGTTCTTTACAAATCTCGTGATTCAAGAGGACTTTAAAGTAATGTTTTTAGACAACACTGTATCAGAAATCACTGTACAAAGCCAATAGCAAACTATCTGCTTACAGTTGTGCTAGTTTGGCAGCCTAAAATGTACCCGGTACAAACATAAATACGTTTCACAAGGCTCAAACGTTTTATGTCTATACTTGTTCAGTTTATGTTACACTTTATTCCTCCACTCTGGCACAGCTTAAATCACTTTATACATACATGTTGCACACTATGAATTCATGGTGGTATTTCCCCCCACCTACAATTTTCAATACAGTCAGGCATAAATACATATGGAAATTAAATAAAGTGCTACTTCAAAATAATTCATCTAACATGATAGCATGAGTTATAATGCTAACTGCTCTCTGATCCTGCAAACATTTGAGCATGTGCTAGACTATTCCCCTGGACTTTAGCAAGATTACTCAGACCATAAAGTTAACTACATTGGTATATTTGAGCCGAAAAGGATTTTGCTGCCTGTCATACAATATTTGATAGTGGGTTTTTTTGTTTTTATTATTTTAAAAAAACTTTTAAGGGATTTTTTTTGTTTGTTTTAGTTCAATGAAGTCAAATAGAAACACATTTTAAACACTATTTTTTTAAGCACCACTAAGCCTTTTCAACTAAAATAGGTGTAAGACCATTTGTTATAATATTCCTTATATGTCATTATCTTGCCTTACCTTGGCTAGAAATATTCAGTGTATAACCTTTCAGGGGGGAAAATTGCAGGCTATACCTAAATCACAAATCCTAACAATATTGGAACACATTCACTCACCTAGAACCAAGCCCTTTTGGTAAAACTATTAGTTTTGATTTGTTAACTGACTTTTTGAATGTATTTATTCCATCCATTGTAATCAAATGCAATTTTATTAAAAAAATCCCAAACACAAATGATTATACAATATTTCACACATAGAACAACTATTTGCACATGATGTCATATGATATGTAAAAGCCAGTTGTTGAAAATTTCTTCAGTCTTTGGGTTGATCAAAACAGGAATACCCTAAATTTATGAAAAGATGGTTGACTTTTCATAAGAGAAGGTTTCTGATACAAGGTTAATCCAAAGGAACTTTCTCTCCCACTCACTTTCCTCCCTGCCCCCACTTTTTAGAATGAAAAACCCAAGTATCTATTCCTAGATCTAGCAATATATATTAATGAGGTTATAATCTTCTCCATGATAGCAGTAATCTAGGATTTCCCATGACTTATTCATAAAAGAGTGGTTGTTCTTATTGAAGTTTACACTGCTTCAGAAGTGTACAGCTATATAAACTCTAGCAGAATACGAATCTCTTATTAAATTATGCTAAATTCCTATGGATTTGAAACAACTTTGTTTAATGTGAAAATTTAGTTACCTTCTCTTGTGATAATTCAATCCAGTCTTAACAAAAAATGTCTTGTTGTTACAAGCCTGTAATTATACATTGCAAAGAAAGAAAATTGCTCCTTGCCTATGGAAATATTTATTAAGTTCCAACCCATTTCTAAGCTGCTAACCATCACACAGCATATGCCATTTGGCAATTTGTCTCCTAGGATATTCACAAATTTCCTTCCAGTGCTCTCCACCTGTTCCTTCTGCTGAAGCTTCCAGGGTTAACCGGCCAATGACCTCATTCCTGGACCCCCTATCAGAATCCAACACCAAAAATTCAATGCTGATGTCATCAAGGCCTTCACAAGGAATGTCAAAGACAAACAGTTCATTGAATACTGCATTGGGGGTGCATTTCTTCACATGGGTTTTCTTTTTAGAGATTCTTTTCTTAGCATGGTACAGGTTCACCTTGACATAAGGATCTGGAATGACAAAGCGGGAGGGGGAAAGAGAACATGAGAAAATTAGGCTGAGTTAATGATTATTGTTGTCCAACAAGTATTCATAGAGCAAATGAATGGGAAACTCCATATTCTGCCAATATAATGGCAGCACAACAAAAGACTGTCACAAGGAAACGTTGAATAAAGTTCCCAGCTGCAAAACCTAAGTGAAAATAAGTGATAAGACAAATAACTTTATTGTCATTTTTTTGAGTCTGGAAAAAAAAGGAAAGTGGGTAAGTATCATATCTAGGACTCTATTATATATGCTTTATTTGCCTGTTTGCTAATATGATATACAAGGCCAAGATCCCCCGAGTTTATAGTTGCTGTCTAGAACTGGAACAGAATCCATCAGCTAGTAGAAATGGCAGAAGGTAGCACAGGATGACACCTTATAGACTAACTTGTTTGGAAAACATGAGCTGTCATAGGTTACAGACTACTTTGTCACTTGCTACAACCTTCATTGGATGTACCTAGGAAAGTTCATGGCTTTCTGATTGAGTTAGTTCATTAGGTGCCACCCTTGTCATCTCCTATACTGTCTGCCTAACTTCAGATTAACAAAGCTAACTACCTCTCTCTAGAATAAATGGATAAATTGAATCCTGTAAATTAACATACGGTTAATATGTTAACCACTCAATATTTTCAACCTTGGCAAAACTCTTCTTCTACTGGATTCAATGCAAGTTACACTACTGGCTTCAATATGAGCAGGTTTGGATAGGCACTTTTGAAAATCCCCAACCTCTGCTAGGTCAGCACTAATTCAAATTCAGTGGAGAAGCTGTTCCAAAGCCTTCTCATATTTACCCAGGTGAAATGCATACTAACTCTTATTGATCTCAATGGAACACTTTATTCTGTGTATGCAAGAACCTAAATAAGAGAAGTATTTGGAGTTGATCAGGAAATAAAATAGACCCTAAAACCAAACCATGCTTTGAATTGATGGGACCAACAAACAAACAAAAAAAAACCACACACCAAAAAACCCAGGTCATGAAGATATTTTTTTAATTCCCTTTTGGCCTGAGAGTGTTTTGCAAGACTCTTAGACAAACGTCCTCTTGCACTTACTAAGTGCTATATGATGGGGCTAAGGCATGTCCAAAGTGTATTTCTTTCTCCTTCTTTTATATTCATAATGAACCATTATTGAATAATACTCCTGTATTATTGCCTTCATCTGGCAAAATGCAAACACTGCTCCAAAATTCTATACCTCAAAATCAAAGCCTAGCAAAATGTTGCATACTGCTCTCACCCTCTGAGCAGATAAACCTAGCTGGTTACCCACCTCTTAGCCACAGATAAAACATAACTGTTAGATCTAGACTGCTCCTGTAGGTGCTCAGATTTAGGCAAGCATGTCTGAATAGTGGGCATCCTGCCCAAGAAGGGTGATCTCAGTGCATAGGGTCAGATACTTAAGTTCCATATAAAGATCCATGTTCAATCAGTGTAGAATCCAGAGTGCCTTGGTGCTGAGCAAGGGCACAGCCAGAACTAACCAAGAAGACGTGCTAAGCAGGGGAGTGTTTCCAGTCTTCCACCCCTCCTCACACTTAGGTGCTGGATTTAAGACTGTACATTAGATAACTCTGTCCACTCAGGATCCATAACACCAAGAAAGAAGGTGCCTAGTTGACTAGAATGCCCAACACGCACCATCAGCGTTGGCCTGGTCCACTGGATAGCACCATGCATGGAGCCAGGAGAGCCAACGTGATGAAGGCACTCTCCTGGGAGGAGGGAGACATAGGCCCTGCTCCTAGGACAATCTTCTTGAGAGGTTGAAGATAAAGTATTTGTTTTTATTTTTATTTTTTTTTAATCTGATCAGAGGACTGCTCTCATTAAGAAAATCATAGCAGTTTATTTTCTCATCTCCCCTGCTCAGTGAAGCCAATGGGAGGAGACCAGGGATGTGATTCATTTTGCTGCTGAACTCACGGCTCCATCAGGTCTTATATCATTGGTGCAATGGGATTAATTACCCAATACTTACATGAACTCAGAGCCTAGGTAAGAGCTATGTGGCTCTTAACTCAATCGTGTCCAACATTTATCTTATAATATAACATATTTTACACACTCACATATACAATCCCTTATATAAAGCCTACCATTGTTCTCAATGGCAGTTCCACAGAACAAAAAAAAGGGCAAAATAAGGCCATGAGAACAAAGTACAAAAGTTGCTTTTCCTTAGTACGTCCCACAAACCTTACCAAATAGAAATGTCATGTTACAAATTACTTTTTAGCAAATTATTTATATTAAATGGCAAATACATAATTTTATATTGCAAATGCCATAAACTTGCGTAATAGGACTAGTCTGATTGCTTATACTGAATCACAACATCAGAGGGGCTGGCTTGCTAGTAATCTTCTGTAAAGTACTTGTTAGTTATAATACAACCTTAATTCCCACAGCCTTTGAAAACAAAACTTGACAGTGAGATCAGCTGAATCCTGTTGAAGACAATGGCAAAAGCAATGACTTGACTAGGTCAAAGATTTCCTTTTTGGCAACTGATAGCAACTTGATTTTATGCTCCATGCTATACAGAAAGAAAGTTGTAACATATGTAACTTAAACCATTACCAGGGTGTGTCAAAAAAGTAAGACTGGACCACGGCCAATGAGCACCTGAGTGATGCCTATTTTTGATCTGCAACTCCCTCATTTAGACTTCTTTATTTACTGCCTTCCCTATGGTATATTCGTTAGTAAAGACAATACCTGATAATCCTGAGACATCAGATTTGGGTAGGTGCCGAGCTTTTAAAACAACCACGGTCAGAGTGTTTGTTGTAGATTGGTAACAGAGAGAGATCAGCAATTCTCCACGCCCAGATGACTTCTAAGGAAATGAATAAAAGGATCTTTATGAGCAATTATCTTGGTCAAGCTGGAAATTGCAGTCAATACTAAACTAAAAAGAAAATCACATAATACTACATCCTGAGCTAGTATAGATTGATGCAGTCATCATGGAGCTACGTTGCTCTGTGCAAGCAGATCTGGTCCTGTGTAGTCTGGTTACATAACTCTGTTTATGACTTGTTAATAGACTGATCAGAACAAAGCAAGGTGAAAATATGAATTGGCACAGTATCATTAATTTTAGAGATGCAAGAGTTCTATTAGTTTGCCTAGAGTCAAGTTTTATTAAAGAATAAACCTTATTTAAAAATCCCTTAATCACAGGAAATAAATGTCTGGGCAAAAAAAACAACTCTTAAGCAGTATTAAAATACAAAAAGTATATCAAAAACCAAACATGTAATTCACCAAAATCTACAAAGAAACCTTTACCACAAATGCAAACTCAAACTATTATTGAAATCTTGTTCTTAATGCTTTCTCTGAAGGACTATAATTTAAACAGAATAATGATGAGATGACTGTTTTTTTCCTAGCTGTATCATTATTAGATCTAAAATTGCAAGAGCAGTGGGTTCACTTTGCAGAGGGGAAAGAAAGAATTAAAAAAGAGAGAGAAATGCTTAATCCTTCTAGTATTCTGAGTATCAATGAGCTGATTACAAAACTGTTGTGTTGTAACATTAGGCTCTACAATAATGGTATTGCTGATAGGAATATTGGTTGGTAGACATTAATGTGATTTGATCTAATGCTTGATCTTTTGAAAGCAATTACATTTAAAGTCAATACTCTTGCCAAATTGTTAGGAAGAGCTGATGGATACAATTCTGTCGTGATTGTTTTGAAATGTTTTCTTCATTCCAGGAATGGATAAGGAGATAGGAAGTATAAGGTGAAACACTGGTCCCACTGGTTTTATTATTCATTTCAGTATAACTACCAGACCTTCAGTTTGCGCCACAATATTTAAGATACAAAAAAATGACTGTGCATAAACATGCCAAACAACTATCATTTTCATTAAATGACGCAAGCAAATATAAAATTTACAGTAGGGTTCAAATACAGTGGGCAGAATAGTTTTCTTCCTGAAGAGCTTGATCCAAAGTTCATTGAGGTCAATCAAAAAGCTCTCATTGACTTAAATGAGCTTTGACCCAAGCTCTGGTTGCCCTTTTCTAATAGGGAGATAAGGTATTTGG